CAAGTGCGTGTTTTGAATCTCATTTGTTTCCTTTCTTTGAATTTGTTTCGAATTTTCAGAGGGAATGTAAAATACGAGGGTGTGATATTATTGAACGAGAAAGTAATCTCATGTCGTTTCTCACTTGTTTCGTTTCCCATTCGCACAGAAAAATGTCTTCAAAATTATTTTAATACATTTATATATATTTTTGCAAACTTGCTTCTTTGCTTTGCAATTAACGTTAACATCAAGAGGAACACGTTCTGACTCTTTGAACGCTGCGATATTTTTTTTATATCTCTTCCACGCACATTTTTTTTTTGCCTACGCCTATGCTGTAAATTTTTTTCATTTTTGGGAATTGGTAAAAAAGAAAGGGATGGTAGCTTAGATGTGGGGTTTTTTATATTGATTTGACTGCGTCCTTTGTTTTCGGTGTTTTGTCGGTTCCGGTGATGCTGCTATTCGCGTCTGGGTGGCCGCTTAAAGGCTTGAGCCATGTAGAACATCATCGGATCAAAGGTGAGTTTTTTCTTTCTCTCCCTTTTATTGTAAAGCAGGCTTTTTGCGATATTCTCATTATCTTCGCTTTTGTTTGATGGGGATTTTTATTTTAGTCTGGCTTTTCTTTCTGGTGAAGGGAAGTGGATGTCTTCCTTGCTTTTGTTTGGAATACTTTCGTCATTCTTTGCACAGCGAAGGGTTTTCTTTTTTTCACAGTGATGCATTTGCGGGTTTATGGTTTTTGTGCTCGCCAGAAAGTTGTTGAATTCATGGAGAGGAAGGATGTCGGGACAAAAGAACGCCTGTCTGCGAAAAAGAATTAACAGTACAAGTCAAGCGGGATGCCAGTAAAAAAGGGAAAAAATTGAAGTTTTGGAGATCATGTGTTCGACATGAATCCTGTATTAAATTTGATGAGCTCGCTTTGAGACTTTTTTTTATGAACAAGGCCGATTGTTTCAGAGGCGAGAAGCAGCTGTAATGGTTTTTCATTCGTCTATGTATGTATTTATGTTAACTGAAAGCGGAAAGTACCCTAATAATCATCTCGGCTGATACGCTTTTGCGTTTTTCTGGAATTCGGTAATACTGTACCGTACTCCAACGTATTATCTTCACTTCGGCAGATTTTCATTGAAAAAGCTCTGTTCGATCACGTTTTTTTCACCTATGAATTGAGATCATTGTTTGAATTTTAAAACAAAAATAAGGCCCCGTGTCGTCTGTGCAGAAAAAAATGAGAGTTCGTACATAACTGTACAGTACAGTGAGTTCCCGCATAAGAAAAGACTTACGCGACGGAAATTTCGCATTACGAAATTTCTTGGATGAGGAGTGATATGCATTACGAAAATTTTCAACCCAAAAAAGGTAAAATGTCAATTGAAACTTCGGTTTTTTTAAAAACAAAAATGAGGGAATGAACTGATGAAGGACGAAGGGTCTTTTTCTGGCTCTTCTTTTCTTCAAAATTTGTGAAATTAAGAAAGGTCAAAGCTCAAGCTCTTCAGGAGTACTTTAATTTACTTAAAAGTCCACCTTTAAATGTTGAAAACTAGGAATAACAAGCGGTTTTAATGTTTAATTATCGTGTTTTGGTGACTGTCGGCAACAAATAAAATTATTTGCAATGGAACCTTGAGGAAAATCGCTGTTTCGCCGAACGAAAATTCAGGAATGAATCAGTTTCGTTATGTGGGGACCCACTTTATAATGATCAGAATGAGATATTTCGATGATCATTTTCATTTTAACGATTCTTATGTGAAGGTTTTGATGAACTTTGCAGGGAAATTATTAATTTTGACCTGGGACATTTTTCCATGGTATACTGTATTCAGTGCGTAAAAGCGTCATCGTGTGAATTTTCAACTGCTGGATGACTTTTTGACGGAAGCAAGGAAGTCATCTCTGAAGTGCTACTCTCTTATGTAGACTATGGGGTCTGGCTTGCATTTTTCGAACTTGAAGCAATTCTGCAAGAAAGGCTTTATTTTATTCGAAGAGAGTTTTCGTATTTTAGAAGCGGTCCTGATTTTTCTAGAAAGTCCAGTTCATTGTTTTTTGCTGTCTTTTCGTCATTCCTTTCTCTCTATTTTTTTCCTGCTGCTTTGTCGTGGCTTGTCTTGAAATCCGCTGTGGTTCCTGGAAAAGAAGGGAATCCGAGTGGCGGTGGTGGTGGCTTTGGTGGGAATGGCGCCGGGGCTGCACCGAAGGCCGTGGCACCAGCGGCGGCGGCGGCGGTGACGGCTTTTGATGGCGCTGACACGTTGTCGGATGCCGGTGCTGGTGCTGCCGCCGCAGGTGCGACAGCGGCGGCATCGGTAACGATGACGGCGGCGGCGCCGTCACCAGACCCGGGCACGGTGTCGCCGAGTGACGTGACGCCGGTGGTTCACTGGCCGTCGGTTTTGCGGGACAGGCCGCGGGTGTCTCGTGGGCCGCCGCCGCCGGTGCCGCCCCGAGGCTCGGGCACTAGTCCTGTGCCGCCTGTCCGCCAAAATGCCCCTGGCGCCGCTTCGGGTGGTGGTGGTGGAAAAAGCGTCGGTAAGTTATTTATTCATTTTTTTCTTCTGCTTTTTGCTGTTGCTGCTATTTCTTGTCGTCGCTTGGCCTGAACTTTTTTTGTGCTGCATATACAGTAGTTGCATGCGTGATTTGTGGTGGGGTGCGTTGTTGTTGCCGTGTTGGCAACCCAGCGGAAAATTGAGTCAAGTGAGGCCCCGAATTAAGGACGCCTAAACCTACGGTCTGTTCGTCTTAAAGACATTTTTATTTCGAAAATTCTGCCGCGACATCAGGGCAATGTCTCAAGATACGCACACCGCAAAAATTTCTGGAAAAATGGAAAATTTACATTTTTATGTGCCTGTATCTTGACCAAATAAAGCTACAGTATTTATGATCACAAAATTTTAAAAGCAAATCTTATTACAAATCCACTCTAATTGNTGACACCTGTATATCTCGCATACTTGAGGCCGTTTTTCGCTTGAAATAAAAACGTTGCTGCTGTTTAAACTTGAGTTATTTATGCAGAAGCCGCACAGACCTGAATATTGTGGCTTATACAGGTGGACTCTCTTTACAACGAAATTCAGGTGAACGGAAAAAATCGCTTCAGGGAAAATTTCGTTGTGGAGAATCTCATCGAAATGAGCTCAACTGAAGAAAATGTTCATGTCGAGAAACTAGTTTTAGAGAGAGGTTACCTGTATTCGAGATCATGTCCAACATCAGATTCCGTGATTCAAAAAAATTTAATTTCTAGGTTTACGTCGTAAAATTTTTTTTTTTTTTTACGTTGGAAACCTGCTGGTAGAAATTCAAAACAATTTTTTTCAAGGAAGAAACCTCTACGGGTAAAGTTCACATCTTGAGTGAAAAATATCTGGGCAGAATTTTCTTTATTACCTTCTCAAATTTGCCTGTCCTGAGTTGTGGTTTTTTTCCTGAAATTACTGTCCGAAATTATGTTCTGGCTTGTGGTCAAGGGAATAAAGTATTGTACTTTGAACACGCCAGCCTTTGTGCGTTAATAGTTTTGAAAACTAATTAATTTTTCTAAGGGAAAAATGCTATTTTCACTCAAATACTTCTCGAGGCTTCTTTTTTTTTAGTTGTTGCTTCGTGAATTAACTTTAAAGTGTTGGGTTTCGTCTTATTTTCGATTGGGTTTTTGATGCGAAGGCGAATTGCCTCATTAGTGTACTTCTGACAGAAACCATAATTACTAATTTATAAAAACAAAATCAGCTGAGAAAGTTTCCTCTTTACATTCTCAGCTTGAAAGCGCAAAAGTAGGAGTCTCAATTTCTATCGGAGCTCTTCGAGGAGATTTAAAGCTGGTAATTGAAGCCTGAAAGCATTCGGAAGACTCTTCTAATTGTAAAAAAAAAAATGGAACGTTACGAAAGCGTGTCTAACATTCGAGTGAATACGGTCTGTCAAGAATGTGAGCTTTAAATAAATTCTAAGTCGAGGGGAAACAGAATCTTGGCAAACGGGAGATATTGAGTGCATGCGACAGATAAGCCCACACGTTCTCCTTTAGCGATAAAAAACTGCCAGATGTTATTGTTGGGGGGGGGGGGAGTTGTCTTCGGTTGTTCCCTGTCAACTTTGTTTTTCATGCTTTCATGCGGACGAAAATGAATTTTGGCACCCGGTACTAGTCGAAGAATTGCCTCGTGTCACGGTTTCTGCATCGGAAACTGCCGCTTATTTTTGCTGTTCTAAGTTTGGATTCCTGCAAAGATTTGCCTCGCATTCTTGTTTTTTCCGGGATGTTCTTGGTTGGACTTTTCAGAGATCTGAATGTTTTTTACCCTGTAGATAATGTCAAATTATATTTCGCTTTAAAAATTAAATTTTATTTGAAGCTGAAAGTTCAGAGCTACATTCTATTCTCAATTAACGCTTTATGACAGAGTTTAATCCAGCTGGAAAAATTAATCCAGTATTGAATTGGAGAAAAAATTTGGGTGTATTTGGACATTCTTTAGAAAGAGTCCAGTTGATTTCACTATTTCAGTATACTTCAGCTGAATTATTCCGACAAATAGGTGTGACTAAAATTCCTTACTGCTCAATTTTATGCAGGAAATAATCTTTCCGATTCACGGAGAGGTTTAATTTTTCCTTCAAAATTTGAAAACTTCCTTGTTTGAGAATAATTTAAAACGCCATGAAAAGCACATACCGCAAGTAACGATCAATAAGAGAACCGGTTTCCTCCACCATTTCCGAACCAAGGAATTTTTTTTTTTTTCAAGATACATTTCTGTAAACGACCCTAAATGTTTGTCTCGCTGAAGAGCAGTATTTTTATTCCGTTTTTCCGCGTTTGGGTCGAGGAACTTGGTGGGTTTCTTTCGGAGAATGTACTATTTTTACTCTGTGAAACTTCGGAGGAAAAAGGTACTGTATTTTTTATGCTGTTCCTCGTTGTCACGAAAACTGTAGATGCTAGATGTCGCCAAACAGTTTTCTCGTAATATTTTTGTGTTTTCATCTACGTAAAAGCCATTAACGTTGTTGACTTCATCTCCTTTTAGCGGTAATTCCGGGACGGAAATTGAGGAAGCGAAAACAAATTGTTTCATTTGTCTAAGCTGCTTCAGTTGAAGAGAAATGAGTCAGTTTGAAGTGGGCTTTGTTCATGAAATGAATGTCCTTCAGTTTTCGTTTAAGTATTGCATAATAAATCGTTTTTTGTTTTTTCGTACCCATTATCTTATCTACGCTCTGAAAATGGCTGAAACAACGAAAATTAATTTTTTAACTAACCTGACAAATTTTTAGCGTTCTGTGACATCGAGGGGGGGGGGGGAACTCCAGCTATAACTGGAAAGTGTTAACACACCATCATGCAGTGAATTGAATATTTTTTTTACAAACCTTAAAAAAAATCCCGCAAACTTGAAACGTCATATGGTCATGTCAAGATATTTTTTTTTACAATTGCAGAAAATATCATAGATCGCATACGACTGGAACAACACTCGTATTGATTCCCTTCAATCAAAACGCGTTTATATTGAAGACACGTTTTGTTGTTTTTACGGTAAAATATCCTTAAAACGAAGCCGTCTGAACCTTGAAAAAGAACTTCATTGTAACGATACAATTAGTTGGAGGAGCTACTCAAATGACATTATGTCTATCGGACATGGACCTGAAGAACGAATTCGTTGTATACAAAAACGGGATAATGAGATTCGCTGTAACAGTACTTTTGTATTGCAGCTAAATCTCGTTACAACGAAGCTGTTGGAACCGGGGAAAAAGCCATGTTATGCTGATGAAATTTGCTAAGAAGCCTCGTTATAACGATACAATTTGTTGAAAAGCTATTCAGATTACGTAATCGCCGCTGAGCATGCTCTTGACAAAAAAAAATCTTTTTATACAATAATTCGTTGTGACAATGTGTTTTTATCGCAGTAAAATCTCGTTACAACGAAAGGACCTTGGAAAAAGCTTCGTTATGCTTATAACGATACATTTATACGAAGATGCGCAAATCATGGCTATTGAGCAGGGACCCAGAGAACGAAGTCGGTTTATACAAAGATGCTTTATACAGCATTAAGATTCCTTGTAAAAAAAAAAAAAAAGAAGATTCTACTGTATTATTTTTGATTGGGGTCGGTAGGTATGAACACTATTTCAATCCCAGAAGTGGCGATGAAGCCGAGCCCGGTGAGCTCAGTTCCCATGTTGGCGTGACACACAACTCACTTCGTCACAATTATCGAATTCC